GAAGAGGACTCCCTCTTGAGATGGTTCGTCGAATTGGATGACGCCATAAGGGCGCGTCGCATCGACGACGGGGATACGCAAGTTGCATTTGCCCAGTCAAATCTGGCAGGACGTGCCAAGACTTGGGCACTGGGGCTCAAGTTGCACGACCCATATGCGTTTGGGTCGTTGGAAGTTATCAAGTCGCGGCTCAGACAAACGTTTGAACCGCCTAGAGCTGAGTTCAGAGCTCGAACCGAACTCTTGAAGCTCAAACAGGGTAAGCGTGATGTACACGCTTACGCTCAACATATACGACATCTCACGAGTTGTATAAGTTCCAATCCGGTGGATGAACACACGTTGGTTTCGGTGTTCATGCAGGGTCTTGCGGATGGTCCCGTCAAGACTCACCTGTTCCGGCTTGAACTAGATTCACTAGAACAAGCCATTTCCATTGCGGAGCAGGAAGACTTCAGTCTTAGACAGGCTCGCGCCAGCTCGACATCATATCGTCAACCGAGACGATATGACAACGGAGGTCCAGAGCCGATGGAACTCTGTTATGTAGAGAGCGAGAAGGCTCGCTCTACAGGCTACAAGAGGTTGCAGAGATGCAACAGATGTCAAAAGACAGGACACTACGCTTACGAGTATAGTGCCCCTCGTCCAGTGTCTCGCGACACTGAGAGTAATGACCGTCCACCCATGCAAAAGGGGCAGGGACGAGGGTCCGCAGTTGGTGCAAAGACGCAACAACGGGATGGACCGTCAAAAAACGGACAGGATCAGTAGGTGCGGAGCACCCTACTGATCCAGCAACGTCAAGAGAATTTGTAGGCCTCTTGATGAAGGTTGCTCCCAACACACAAACGTTGTGCGTTGCTGCTCTAGGTAATGAGGTCTCACTCATTACCTTGAAACTCAAAGTGACGAATAAGTTGTCTCTTCGAGCTCTAGTCGATTGTGGGGCGTCCAAATTTTGTGCGACGCCAATCGCTAGAAGATGGTCACTTTAAATTCAGTGAATGTGACACACCTCCTACGAGGATGACGGTACGTCTTGCGACAGGCGCATCCGTAACCGTCATGAAGCGTATAGTGAAGATCCGCTATACGCTAGAAGATACCCAATATGACGATGACTTTATCGTATTGGATTTGGATGACAAATTTGATGTCATCCTTGGAATACCGTGGCTCAGAAGGTACGAACCACGGGTAAACTGGCAACATCGAACAGTAACGATGCCTGCCGCTTGTTTATCAGATGGCCATCTGATGAACGTTTTGGAGCGTCCACAAGCGTGTGGATGTACTACAAGTGAGTGCGATGGCCTCACTTGTGGTACGTTCGTTAGTACGACTGCACAAAACCTTAGTGTACCAAACAGTTACACTTCGGAGCAAAGTTCCGGCGGCTGTGAGGAAACACAGGCTGCGCCGAAGGTCCACCACTCGAATAAGTCGAGTGGACCGGGACAAAGATGTATCCCTAGCGGGGAACATCTGGAAGAGAAACAATCGATCGCTCAGGTTAAGCAAAACGATAATCCTAGATCGACTGGAGAGTCTTTCGTAGAGGATCTCGCTGTGGTTGCGCAACCCCAGCTAGAGGAAGTAAAGGGAATAAGTCCCAAGATTACAAATACGGCGGAAATAAGTTCCCCGAAACCCGCGGGAATAAGTCCCCGGGAAGCCGAAGGAATAAGTCCTTCGAAGCCTGAGGGAATAAGTCCCCAGAAAATGACAGAGACATTGAATGTCATAGTCAATAACGGATCAAGTGTTGGCGCTTATACACTTAATCTGATTGCGCCTCCGAAGTTGACTTCGGAGATCACTCAGTTGCCAACGCTCGAACATAAAAGGTTCTTGCGTGATCTGCGTAGTGGCAAAGTCAAGCAGATCTGCGTACTCGTCGCTGACGACGAGTGTGTAGCCGACATAAGGTCAGCAACAGTGTTCACTTAGAACGAGAGAGTTCTCAGTAGTTCATCTATGGACGAGAGTGTCCTGGATGAAAAGACACGAATTGAGCGATATGACTCCCAATCGTAAGAATCGCTCAAGACAAATCCTCTCTATGAAGATTTGGTTGAATTCAAGGATGTATTCCCTGAAACTGTTCCGTGCGAATTACCGAAGGATAAAGGTATTCGAAACGAGGTCGAGCTTAAACCAGGCTCGAAGTACTGTGTCATGAAGCAGTGGCCACTGCCTCGTGAACAAGTACTTGCGATCGATAAGTTCTTTGCTGATCGTTTAGCTGCGGGCCATGTGAGGGAATCAACTTCCCCACATAGCTCTCCGACCTTCTGTGTGCGAAAAGCAACAGGAGGGTGGCGGATAGTGCATGCATTTAACAAGTTGAATGCTGCAACGGTACCGGCTCAAACGCCGATACCAAGGAAGGACGTAATCAGTGATGGTATGTCAAAGAGTACCATCTTTTCGTCCATGGATTTGATGGATGGCTTCTATCAAATCCTTATGCGAGAACGTGATACACCCTATACCGCAGTTAGCACGCTTAGCAGCATGCTATGGGAATGGCTAGTAATGCCACAAGGGCTTAGTAATGCCCCTGCCACGTTCAACAGATGTGATACACATCTGTTGAGACCAGTACGCGAATTCGCGCCGAGTTATTTCGATGACGTATTCATCCATAGTCGAGCTATGGATGGAAAGTTGGACGTTGAGGTTCACAGGTACCACGTCCGACAAGTTCTTACAATCATGCGAAAGCATCAATTGTATGCAAACCTCAAGAAGTGTATCGTTGCAGCAAGCGAAATACCACTTCTTGGATGCATCGTTGGTAAGAACGGTGTATGTCCTGATCCCGAAAAGATCAAGGCGATCACCGACTGGCCTGTGCCGGTTGATGTCAAAGGTCTTCGAAAATTCCTTGGGCTAGCGGCGTATTTGCATAAGTAATCACGCAATTACGCCGAGATGACTGCGCACCTCTCTCGTTTGTTGAAAAAGAACGAGAGGTGGTTATGGAACGCTGAATGTCAGCGCTCCTTTGATGGTATCAAGCAGAGCTTGATACAATCCCCAGTCCTAGCAATAGCCGATCAGGACAGACCATTTCATGTGGTCTGTGATGCCAGCGATTTCGCAATCGGCTGTGCATTAATGCAGTACGACCTAGAAGGCGTTGAACGCGTCGTCTGCTATCAGTCGCGTCAGCTGCAACCAGCTGAGCGGAACTATCCAGTGCATGACAAGGAACTCCTTGCCATGAAGTACGCACTCGCGAAGTCCAGAGTCTATCTATCAGGAGATAGACCCTTCATTGTTTACACTGAACATGCGTCATTACGCACGGCAGTAAACAGCCCGCACCTTTCACAACGAATGGCGCGGTGGTTGTCATTATTTGCAGAATACAACTTTACGGTCGAGTACAAACCAGGACGACTTAATGTCGTTGCTTATGCACTCTCACGTCGTCCCGACTTTGAACCAGTCGTGAAACCCAACAGTGAGACAGTCACTGTTGCGGTTATGACGTCCTCAGTCCCATCTGCAACGTTGCATGATGATGTGAGACGGGCGTATGCCCAAGGTAATGAGATTGTGAAGTTGTTGACACTTCTCTCACAGCCATCTCGAGAATCGTTGAAACGATTATCGTCTGCGTATCGATCTGGATCAGATCGATACACTACTCGTAACGGTCTACTGTATTATACAGCCGTTTCTGGGGACACACCACGTGTTGTCATTCCAGATGATACTGATCTGCGTTTGCGGATAATGTTCGAGTATCACGATGCTCCTATAGGAGGACATCGTGGCCGAGAGAAAACATATCTCACGGTAAGTCGAGACTTTTACTGGCCCCGCCAGTATCAGTTTGTGCGAAAGTATGTTCGCGCATGCGAAGTCTGCCAACGAGTGAAGTCAAGTCCTTCACTGCGTGCACCTTTACAGCCTCTACCGGTTTCGGCTGAGTGCTGGGAATCCATCTCAATGGATTTCGTCTTCGTGTTACCCAAAGACGCACGCGGGAATACGGGTATTCTCGTATTTGTTGACAGATTCAGCAAAATGGTACACCTCGTGGCTGTACCAGAGTCAATCACAGCAAGTGGCTGTGCTTGTGTCTTTATTGACACCATCTTCCGACTTCATGGGTTGCCCCGTGAACTCGTATCAGACAGAGATCCACGATTCACTGCTGATTTCTGGCGCTCCGTGCTCAAATCACTCGGAACGCGCTTGAAGATGTCTACATCTGATCATCCAGATCCAGATGGTCAGACGGAACGTGCCAACCGTGTCCTCGAAGAGATACTTCGAGGATACGTACACTCTTTACGAGTTGGAGTGAGTTTTTGCCAATGGTAGAGTTTGCCATTAACAACTCGGTGCATGCGTCCACGACCCATACACCGTTTTACGTGAATGGCTTGCGCCATCCGCGTGTACCCACCTTACTCGAGTGTAACTCTGGTTTAAGGGGGGGACTCGCGCGAGCAAAAACCGATTTGGTTCACGCTTATCACGCTCTGACGAAGAGGTCATTGCGTTTGATGCCGATATCGATAACATCGATATCGAAGAAGATGATGCCAGTGAGAGTGCGGAAGCCCTCACTGAAGAAGATGATCCCAGTGAGAGTGCGGAAGCCCTCACTTAAGAAAAGGTTGATGTTGCTGCAGTGCGCTCACAGCGCACTGAAGCTAACGAGTCATCAGATGAATTCATACTGGCTCGTGAAACGGTAGTCCGTTTTATGCAAGACTCCATCGCCGAAGCGGTGGATAAGCAAAAGCAAAACGCTGATAAGAATGGAAGGGCAAACACTCTTTTATTTAATAAAGGTGACTTAGTCCTACTGTCTACGGTTAATCTACCAAAGCATGTAGTGACTAACTTGGGTAGCAGTAAACTACTACCCAAGTACATCGGCCCATTTCGCGTATTGCACCGCCTAGGCAATGCATACACGATCGAGTTACCACGTAAGATGCGAACGCATCCCACGTTTTACGTTGGTCGTCTTAAGCCGTACCATCAGTACGCTGCTTCTTCTGATGAAGAACGCCCTTGCGCTCAAGCATCTCGCAGAGAGCCTTGTGCTCCCGATGGTGGGCATCGACAAGGGTCTGAAGAGCAGCTATCTCATCCCGAGACTGATCAACAATCCCACGAGCTACCCTTAGCTCGTCACGAAGAGATGTCATAGATCTCTCGTTCTCGAGCTGAGCAAAGGCAAACTCAGCTCGATGCTTCAAGGCAGTGTCCGCCATTTGGAGACGCCTATTCCGCTCATGTTCGAGATCGTCGCGTAACCCTTGCGTTATGCGATCAAAAGAAGCTCTCGGGAACACACCGATCCACATGATCGTGTGGAGAGCGTCTTTCCTCCTCCTCCACCTCCATTAGAGGACTCTCGCGGTGGACAGCGCTATCTAGTTGAGCAGCTGTTGAACCACCGCGACGTGAACGGACGTCGGACGAGTTATCTCGTCCGGTGGCGCGGCTATCCCCCGTCCTGGGATTCTTGGGAGCCCCGCTCCCAACTGATGATCGACGTACTGGGTCTGGTTGAGCAGTACGACGCGGCACATCCTGTGCCGCAGAAGGACCGCCGGAGAAAGTCTTCCCGGCACGGTCGTAAAGGGATTTCCAGTTGTCAATCCCTTCGTACATCTCAGTAGAGATACGTACGCGCCACCACGGGCTAGTACGGAGGTAAGACTCCTTAGGTGCTCGTGCAGAGTTGTTCACACAACATGGGCACGATTCTCCCCAAGAGAGGCAGGGTAATCCTTTCTCCCTTGACAGACGATGCAGCTTGTAGTGTGCACTTGTCGGGGTTCGCTTTTCAAACTTATCACGAGCTTTGATAAGTTTGTCGTTCCAAGCGTCACGACCTACATCCTCAAGGTTATGGATGTAGGCGTTCCACGCCTGAAGTAGTGAGGGACCATCACGTTTGTGATTCCCACTGTACCATCGATGTCTAAAGAAAGCATCGATGAAGAATTCATTCTCAGCGCGATAGTTTTTCGCGCTGGGGTCAAGGTGATGGATCCTTGACGAATCGAACAATCGTGTTCGATAACGATCACTCGTCGTCGCCGACAAGTGATCCATGACGGATTTTGGAGGCATCCATGCCTTCTTTTCAGGAGCGAGACGCAACACACTGCGGTCCCGCTCTTCTTGCGACGTGCCGACAGAAGTACTGGCACCTCGATGCGAAGTGGTGTCAATTGGAGAACCAACACCACTGTGAGCGCCCGAGTCTCGCGACCTCGAGCGCCTTCGCTTCGGCGATGGTTCATCTGATTCATCAGATGACCCAAAGATGCTGCGACGCAAAGCATCATCCATGCCACGCTTGGCAGGCGGCTTGGATTCAATCGCCGTCGATACGGATCCGTCTTCCGTATCAGGAGAGTATGAGACACCGAGCTCATACTCTGTGAAGACATGGGTGTCTTCATGACCAGCACCTGCATCACCAAGTGACACAGGCTGGGTCGCTTCAGCAACCGATGAGACATCAGTTGCTGTTGTTTCTGCTTCGGCTTCCGCACAGAGACGTGCGGACGCGCTCTCGGCGGCCTTGCTCGCGCATCGCATGGGCTTGTTACCCATGCGATGAGATGTTGGAAAGTGGACGCGGACCAACAAGTGCAAACCCTGTCCCAAATGATTTGGGACGAGTATCCATTTAGTCAATCAGTCACTAAAGTGACTGATGGTTAAGGGGGGGGTGATGTAACGGGGTGAATCGTTACATAACAATTTATAAGAAATTGTTAATAGAATATAACTATAAGAGTTATGTTCTCAGAATATTGTCATAAGGACAAATATTCTGCAGCACTTACGCGTAGTTCCTAATTGGTTGATGTAGGCCATTATATCAACCAACGAAGACGCGCCACGACAGACGCACGCAATGAGTGGTGAGCAGATAATTGATTTACACATTTGTATTTAGACATAGTTAGATGAAGATAAATAGTGATTTATTGCAGACATTAACTATACTAAATACAGTTCTACTTTTTACTTTAACCAAGTACTCGCTTCTTCTTACCGTCTTCCTCTGCACGTACGAGTGTACGTGAAGTTACGAGGCACCGCTTTATTCTGTCATCAGAATAAGTAGCTTGTACTGTCACCAGTACAAGCTTCAGGGTGCCCCGTTACACCTGGTAGCACTTCGTAGTCCGGCCAAGGACCACGTTCACATCTAACATGAATATGTTGGATGATGAAGATGACCAAAGCTTTCACGCTATGCGCGACGGCTACTCCCATTTGAGCAATGTCGAATGGGATGCGGTTGAACGAATGGGTTCGACCATGGGCATCCATGCTGTTAGCGTCATGCTAGAGGCTCTCAATAGAGATGCCCAACATGCTACTATCGCCAAGTTCATTCAAAATGAACTTGACGCAGAACGCGAGAAAGTAGCCTTGCTTCACCAACAAGGTTCTCAACAAGCAGAGTTGTTGAGAGAACAGGGTGCTCAACAGTTTGAACTGTTGAGACAGCAGCAGGCTGCTGCTGGTGGGTCGATGCACTCGCGTCGACCCGAAACCTTGAAGATTGACATCTCCAAGTATACGGGAGTCGAAGAGGACTCCCTCTTGAGATGGTTCGTCGAATTGGATGACGCCATAAGGGCGCGTCGCATCGACGACGGGGATATGCAAGTTGCATTTGCCCAGTCAAATCTGGCAGGACGTGCCAAGACTTGGGCACTGGGGCTCAAGTTGCACGACCCATATGCGTTTGGGTCGTTGGAAGTTATCAAGTCGCGGCTCAGACAAACGTTTGAACCGCCTAGAGCTGAGTTCAGAGCTCGAACCGAACTCTTGAAGCTCAAACAGGGTAAGCGTGATGTACACGCTTACGCTCAACATATACGACATCTCACGAGTTGTATAAGTTCCAATCCGGTGGATGAACACACGTTGGTTTCGGTGTTCATGCAGGGTCTTGCGGATGGTCTCGTCAAGACTCACCTGTTCCGGCTTGAACTAGATTCACTAGAACAAGCCATTTCCATTGCGGAGCAGGAAGACTTCAGTCTGAGACAGGCTCGCGCCAGCTCGACATCATATCGTCAACCGAGACGATATGACAACGGAGGTCCAGAGCCGATGGAACTCTGTTATGTAGAGAGCGAGAAGGCTCGCTCTACAGGCTACAAGAGGTTGCAGAGATGCAACAGATGTCAAAAGACAGGACACTACGCTTACGAGTATAGTGCCCCTCGTCCAGTGTCTCGCGACACTGAGAGTAATGACCGTCCACCCATGCAAAAGGGGCAGGGACGAGGGTCCGCAGTTGGTGCAAAGACGCAACAACGGGATGGACCGTCAAAAAACGGACAGGATCAGTAGGTGCGGAGCACCCTACTGATCCAGCAACGTCAAGAGAATTTGTAGGCCTCTTGATGAAGGTTGCTCCCGACACACAAACGTTGTGCGTTGCTGCTCTAGGTAATGAGGTCTCACTCATTACCTTGAAACTCGAAGTGACGAATAAGTTGTCCCTTCGAGCTCTAGTCGATTGTGGGGCGTCCAAATTTTGTGCGACGCCAATCGCTAGAAGATGGTCACTTTAAATTCAGTGGATGTGACACACCTCCTACGAGGATGACGGTACGTCTTGCGACAGGCGCATCCGTAACCGTCATGAAGCGTATAGTGAAGATCCGCTATACGCTAGAAGATACCCAATATGACGATGACTTTATCGTATTGGATTTGGATGACAAATTTGATGTCATCCTTGGAATACCGTGGCTCAGAAGGTACGAACCACGGGTAAACTGGCAACATCGGACAGTAACGATGCCTGCCGCTTGTTTATCAGATGGCCATCTGATGAACGTTTTGGAGCGTCCACAAGCGTGTGGATGTACTACAAATGAGTGCGATGGCCTCACTTGTGGTACGTTCGTTAGTACGACTGCACAAAACCTTAGTGTACCAAACAGTTACACTTCGGAGCAAAGTTCCGGCGGCTGTGAGGAAACACAGGCTGCGCCGAAGGTCCACCACTCGAATAAGTCGAGTGGACCGGGACAAAGATGTATCCCTAGCGGGGAACATCTGGAAGAGAAACAATCGATCGCTCAGGTTAAGCAAAACGATAATCCTAGATCGACTGGAGAGTCTTTCGTAGAGGATCTCGCTGTGGTTGCGCAACCCCAGCTAGAGGAAGTAAAGGGAATAAGTCCCAAGATTACAAATACGGCGGAAATAAGTTCCCCGAAACCCGCGGGAATAAGTCCCCGGGAAGCCGAAGGAATAAGTCCTTCGAAGCCTGAGGGAATAATTCCCCAGGAAATGACAGAGACATTAAATGTCCTAGTCAATGACGGATCAAGTGTAGGCGCTTATACACTTGATCTGATTGCGCCTCCGAAGTTGACTTCGGAGATCACTCAGTTGCCAACGCTCGAACATAATAGAGGTTCTTGCGTGATCTGCATAGTGGCAAAGTCAAGCAGATCTGCGTACTCGTCGCTGACGACGAGTGTGTAACCGACGTAAGGTCAGCAACAGTGTTCACTGAGAACGAGAGAGTTCTCAGTAGTTCATCTATGGACGAAAGTGTCCTGGATGAAAAGACACGAATTGAGCGATATGACTCCCAATCGTAAGAATCGCTCAAGACAAATCCTCTCTATGAAGATTTGGTTGAATTCAAGGATGTATTCCCTGAAACTGTTCCGTGCGAATTACCGAAGGATAAAGGTATTCGACACGAGGTCGAGCTTAAACCAGGCTCGAAGTACTGTGTCATGAAGCAGTGGCCACTGCCTCGTGAACAAGTACTTGCGATCGATAAGTTCTTTGCTGATCGTTTAGCTGCGGGCCATGTGAGGGAATCAACTTCCCCACATAGCTCTCCGACCTTCTGTGTGCGAAAAGCAACAGGAGGGTGGCGGATAGTGCATGCATTTAACAAGTTGAATGCTGCAACGGTACCGGCTCAAACGCCGATACCAAGGAAGGACGTAATCAGTGATGGTATGTCAAAGAGTACCATCTTTTCGTCCATGGATTTGATGGATGGCTTCTATCAAATCCTTATGCGAGAACGTGATACACCCTATACCGCAGTTAGCACGCTTAGCAGCATGCTATGGGAATGGCTAGTAATGCCACAAGGGCTTAGTAATGCCCCTGCCACGTTCAACAGATGTGATACACATCTGTTGAGACCAGTACGCGAATTCGCGCCGAGTTATTTCGATGACGTTTTTATCCATAGTCGAGCTATGGATGGAAAGTTGGACGTTGAGGTTCACAGATACCACGTCCGACAGGTTCTTACAATCATGCGAAAGCATCAATTGTATGCCAATCTCAAGAAGTGTATCGTTGCAGCAAGCGAAATACCACTTCTTGGATGCATCGTTGGTAAGAACGGTGTATGTCCTGATCCCGAAAAGATCAAGGCGATCACCGACTGGCCTGTGCCGGTTGATGTCAAAGGTCTTCGAAAATTCCTTGGGCTAGCGGCGTATTTGCATAAGTAATCACGCAATTACGCCGAGATGACTGTGCACCTCTCGCGTTTGTTGAAAAAGAACGAGAGGTGGTTATGGAACGCTGAATGTCAGCGCTCCTTTGATGGTATCAAGCAGAGCTTGATACAATCCCCAGTCCTAGCAATAGCCGATCAGGACAGACCATTTCATGTGGTCTGTGATGCCAGCGATTTCGCAATCGGCTGTGCGTTAATGCAGTACGATCTTGAAGGCTTTGAACGCGTCGTCTGCTATCAGTCGCGTCAGCTGCAACCAGCTGAGCGGAACTATTTAGTGCATGACAAGGAACTCCTTGCCATGAAGTACGCACTCGCGAAGTCCAGAGTCTATCTATCAGGAGATAGACCCTTCATTGTTTACACTGAACATGCGTCATTACGCACGGCAGTAAACAGCCCGCACCTTTCACAACGAATGGCGCGGTGGTTGTCATTATTTGCAGAATACAACTTTACGGTCGAGTACAAACCAGGACGACTTAATGTCGTTGCTTATGCACTCTCACGTCGTCCCGACTTTGAACCAGTCGCGAAACCCAACAGTGAGACAGTCACTGTTGCGGTTATGACGTCCTCAGTCCCATCTGCAACGTTGCATGATGATGTGAGGCGGGCGTATGCCCAAGATGGTGAGATAGTGAAGTTGTTGACACTTTTCTCACAGCCATCTCGAGAATCGTTGAAACGATTATCGTCTGCGTATCGATCTGGATCAGATCGATACACTACTCGTAACGGTCTACTGTATTATACAGCCGTTTCTGGGGACACACCACGTGTTGTCATTCCAGATGATACTGATCTGCGTTTGCGGATAATGTTCGAGTATCACGATGCTCCTATAGGAGGACATCGTGGCCGAGAGAAAACATATCTCACGGTAACTCGAGACTTTTACTGGCCCCGCCAGTATCAGTTTGTGCGAAAGTATGTTCGCGCATGCGAAGTCTGCCAACGAGTGAAGTCAAGTCCTTCACTGCGTGCACCTTTACAGCCTCTACCGGTTTCGGCTGAGTGCTGTGAATCCATCTCAATGGATTTTGTCTTCGGGTTACCCAAAGACGCACGCGGGAATACGGGTATTCTCGTATTTGTTGACAGATTCAGCAAAATGGTACACCTCGTGGCTGTACCAGAGTCAATCACAGCAAGTGGCTGTGCTTGTGTCTTTATTGACACCATCTTCCGACTTCATGGGTTGCCCCGTGAACTCGTATCAGGCAGAGATCCACGATTCACTGCTGATTTCTGGCGCTCCGTGCTCAAATCACTCGGAACGCGCTTGAAGATGTCTACATCTGATCATCCAGATTCAGATGGTCAGACGGAACGTGCCAACCGTGTCCTCGAAGAGATAATTCGAGGATACGTACACTCTTTACGAGTTGGAGTGAGTTTTTGCCAATGGTAGAGTTTGCCATTAACAACTCGGTGCATGCGTCCACGACCCATACACCGTTTTACGTGAATGGCTTGCGCCATCCGCGTGTACCCACCTTACTCGAGTGTAACTCTGGTTTAAGGGGGGGGACTCGCGCGAGCAAAAACCGATTTGGTTCACGCTTATCACGCTCTGACGAAGAGGTCATTGCGTTTGATGCCGATATCGATAACATCGATATCGAAGAAGATGATGCCAGTGAGAGTGTGGAAGCCCTCACTGAAGAAGATAATCCCAGTGAGAGTGCGGAAGCCCTCACTTAAGAAAAGGTTGATGTTGCTGCAGTGCGCTCACAGCACACTGAAGCTAACGAGTCATCAGATGAATTCATACTGGCTCGTGAAACGGTAGTCCGTTTTGTGCAAGACTCCATCGCCGAAGCGGTGGATAAGCAAAAGCAAAACGCTGATAAGAATGGAAGGGCAAACACTCTTTTATTTAATAAAGGTGACTTAGTCCTACTGTCTACGGTTAATCTACCAAAGCATGTAGTGACTAACTTGGGTAGCAGTAAACTACTACCCAAGTACATCGGCCCATTTCGTGTATTGCACCGCCTAGGCAATGCATACACGATCGAGTTACCACGTAAGATGCGAACGCATCCCACGTTTTACGTTGGTCGGCTTAAGCCGTACCATCAGTACGCTGCTTCTTCTGATGAAGAACGCCCTTGCGCTCAAGCATCTCGCAGAGAGCCTTGTGCTCCCGATGGTGGGCATCGACAAGGGTCTGAAGAGCAGCTATCTCATCCCGAGACCGATCAACATCCCCACGAGCTACCCTTAGCTCGTCACGCAGAGATGTCAGAGATCTCTCGTTCTCAAGCTGAGCAAAGGCAAACTCAGCTCGATGCTTCAAGACAGCGTCCGCCAGTTGTAGACGCCTGTCCCGCTCATGCTCGAGATCGCCGCGTAACCCTTGCGTTACGCGATCAAAGAAGCTCTCGGGAACACACGCTTCCCCACGATTGTGTGGAGAGCGTCTTCCCTCCTCCTCCACCTCCATTAGATGACTCTCGCGGTGGTCAGCGCTATCCAGTTGAGCAGCTGTTGAACCACCGCGACGTGAACGGACGTCGGACGAGTTATCTCGTCCGGTTGCGCGGCTATCCCCCGTCCTGGGATTCTTGGGAGCCCCGCTCCCAACTGATGATCGACGTACTGGGTCTGGTTGAGCAGTACGACGCGGCACATCCTGTGCCGCAGAAGGACCGCCGGAGAAAGTCTTCCCGGCACGGTCGTAAAGGGATTTCCAGTTGTCAATCCCTTCGTACATCTCAGTAGAGATACGTACGCGCCACCACGGGCTAGTACGGAGGTAAGCCTCCTTAGGTGCTCGTGCAGAGTTGTTCACACAACATGGGCACGATTCTCCCCAAGAGAGGCAGGGTAATCCTTTCTCCCTTGACAGACGATGCAGCTTGTAGTGTGCACTTGTCGGGGTTCGCTTTTCAAACTTATCACGAGCTTTGATAAGTTTGTCGTTCCAAGCGTCACGACCTACATCCTCAAGGTTATGGATGTAGGCGTTCCACGCCTGAAGTAGTGAGGGACCATCACGCTTGTGATTCCCACTGTACCATCGATGTCTAAAGAAAGCATCGATGAAGAATTCATTCTCAGCGCGATAGTTTTTCGCGCTGGGGTCAAGGTGATGGATCCTTGACGAATCGAACAATCGTGTTCGATAACGATCACTCGTCGTCGCCGACAAGTGATCCATGACGGATTTTGGAGGCATCCATGCCTTCTTTTCAGGAGCGAGACGCAAGACATTGCGGTCCCGCTCTTCCTGCGACGTGCCGACAGAAGTACTGGCACCTCGCTGTGAAGTGGTGTCCATAGGAGAACCAACACCACTGTGAGCGCCCGAGTCTCGCGACCTCGAGCGCCTTCGCTTCGGCGATGGTTCATCTGATTCATCAGATGAACCAAAGATGCTGCGACGCAAAGCATCATCCATGCCACGCTTGGCAGGCGGCTTGGATTCAATCGCCGTCGATACGGATCCGTCATTCGTATCAGGAGAGTACGAGACACCGAGCTCGTACTCTGTGAAGACACGAGTGTCTTCATGACCAGCGCCTGCATCACCAAGTGACACAGGCTGGGTCGCTTCAGCAACCGATGAGACATCAGTTGCTGTTGTTTCTGCTTCGGCGTCCGCACAGAGACGTGCGGACGCGCTCTCGGCGGCCTTGCTCGCGCATCGCATGGGCTTGTTACCCATGCGATGAGATGTTGGAAAGTGGACGCGGACCAACAAGTGCAAACCCTGTCCCAAATGATTTGGGACGAGTATCCATTTAGTCAATCAGTCACTAAAGTGACTGATGGTTAAGGGGGGGGTGATGTAACGGGGTGAATCGTTACATAACAATTTTTAAGAAATTGTTAATAGAATATAACTATAAGAGTTATGTTCTCAGAATATTGTCATAAGGACAGATATTCTGCAGCACTTACGAGTAGTTCCTAATTGGTTGATGTAGGCCATTATATCAACCAACGAAGACGCGCCACGACAGACGCACGCACTGAGTGGTGAGCAGATAATTGATTTACGCATTTGTATTCATACATAGTCAGATGAAGATAAATAGTGATTTATTGCAGACATTAACTATACTAAATACAGTTCTACTTTTTACTTTAACCAAGTACTCGCTTCTTCTTACCGTCTTCCTCTGCACGTACGAGTGTACGTGAAGTTACGAGGCACCGCTTTATTCTGTCATCAGAATAAGTAGCTTGTACTGTCACCAGTACAAGCTTCAGGGTGCCTTGTTACAATGCCAGCTGGTGTTCTGCCAGCGTCGTTCCGGGCAGTGCGTCCAACATGAGCAGCTGATAACAAGTCGAATTCATACGCACCTGGAACGAGGGTCTCGATGTAAAACTGCACGACCTGTGTGGCAACTACTACAGTAGGCCGTCAAACATGAGCTACACTTCCGTTCCACGAGCCACAACAGCACGACACGTGTCAACATTTCTTTGTTGTTGTCGTCGTCGACTTTACCAGGAATGTCATTCGTGTTACGCGTACTGCCGACTCTTGGTGCCCACAGCTCATATAGAGTTCTTACTGTTCTCTATTCGTGGAGTGTCCTCGATGACACACAACGGCACTGCTATGAGCACATTTGTCCATCTCACTTTATGGTGCCTTACGGTCTACAAGAGGACCACGAGTGCTCCGGGTAAGTACCTCAGCACCCACTTCTAGTGTTTATGACGTCGCACAATTGAATTGCTCCAATGCCTTCCGTCTTCCTTCCTAATTTCTACTCAGATAGCAGTGATATACGCTGTTATTATTGACCAAGTTCCGAGTCTTGGTCAGCCCCAAAGCAGCAAGTGGCTCGCGCATCAACTCTATATGTTACTAGTAAAGGCATCAGCGCTTCCCTAACGTAATGATGGAAAGAGACCACGTTCGCTGTTTGTAGACCTCCATTCATAAGATCAATCGAGTCAACTTCCAGTCAAGGCTTTGGACGCGCAACGCACGATTGCACGATGTGCCATGACGATGCTTAGTTAACTAGAAGATGGTGACGAGCAAAGCATTTACACGAGACTGCACGCGATTGTTGGTGCAGGCAGCGGGTGAGCTTTTATGTGTTGTGACACGGGTCAAGGAGCAGCGCGGACGCAACAAAGACGAGGAGGTTCGAAGTGCCGCTGCTGCCGCTCAGGGAAATGCAGCGACGAATCCGCACGTCGACGGTCATAAGATGGCAGAGCGGTGACGGTACCAGTGTTTGGTAACGGGATGTATGCATAGTCTAATGTATTGTGTTGCTGTCTCTCTGTTTGGTTGTTCTGTTGCGTCTTGTGTACGCGCTGACTGTCCAGCGTCGTGCTTCTTCAGCGTCAACCAGAAATTTGCTTGCTTGCGTGTGTTGGTGATACCGGAGCTCGTGTGCAGAGAAAAGAAGGGCATTAGCAGTTTCAACGCAACGTACACGTGTGACACGAGGTTCAAAGACGTAAGTACGAGTGTTTTTTTCTATTATGGGTCAGAAGTGCTGCTCGAGTTGCAGGAGAAACACGATAGTTCGGTAAGACGTTTGTCATCCATGCTATGGGACGATTTTATCGCGACCGGCTTGAAAGATGGCACAATCGGGAGGAGGTAGAATAGACTTCAAGCCTGTGACGAATGGCACAGACCTGTCATCACGGACTCAAGATCGGCCCAGTCTAGGTGCGTCAGCGGCTCATCGGGGGTGATCGGTCTGGTCTTTGGCGTTTCCTGTGACTTCAGCGCCCTGTCTGCATCCCAGACTGGATTTTCGATTCCACGTGCCCTCTGCGAAGTGTTCCCCGTGATGACCGAAGAGCGTGGCTAAGCAGACTGAGCCAGCGAGGAGAAGATGACGTAGTTTAGGCAGAAGCACACCGATATCGTAAAGGGCGTAAGCACTTAATCGACGTTCAGGATTGACTACTAGGACCTGTTTCAAATCTAGTACCAGTACTTACCAATCGCGTGTGGTACTTACCGTATATTGCGAGCCCGAAGGTTGAAGCTATCAACGAGTGTGCGCCAGGTTGAATGCCGAACTTTTCAATCGTACTTAACTGTCTGTCTGTCCGGGGGGGGGGTGGCTGTCTATAAATAACGCGGTTAGGTGTACTTTGCACATTCTGAGTACGATCTGGCAGGTCCCCCCTCATAGGTCGATAGGCATATCCGAAGTGACTCTATGGCTAGGTCACTATTGCGATGTACGCACCTGATTGGCTCAAAATTGATGGAAGTTGAATATCATCACAATAGTAAATGATATGCGCTCATAAACAAAGACTGATCGCGTTGCCCAAGTGTACTTTACTGTGTTAAGACACGCATCAACAGCATCGTACTCATTCTTCAGTGTCTGCTATTGTGCAGTGCTTCGCAACTTGTTTCAGTTCTCCAAGCTGAATTAATTTTTGTCAAGGCGAGCTCCAGAGCTTGCTCCCCTATCTTACATCACAAAGTCGACTAGTCCCCAACGCGCATTCGCTCATCACTTCATATACTTTGTCACGACAAATGTGTCTTAATCATTACCAATTCTGTTCGTCAATACACAGATTTCAATTACATTCAGAATATTAGTCTTGATGAAACTGAATGGCCTTCAAGACGAATTCGAACCTTTGCCTTACAAAAGCTCGGTCGTCCCGTATAGTCAGTCAGCCCAGATCGATGACGGGTGCATGTTGTTGGTCATGTTAACTCTGTGTTGTATATTGAGTCACCACCACACAAAACTGAGATATACAAGTACTAGATTTGGAAAAGGTACTAGAGCTGATAAATTACACTGGAGAGGTACTGGTTATGGGGGGGGACTCGTTTTCGCTCACTGATTACGCCAATAGGCTGAACATGATACATCTGGCCACAGCATGACAACGAGTGGTCAGGAGTCTCTTTAGTCGCTGGATCACCCGTGCACGTCTGTCATTATACATTTTGCGCTCCAGTACCTGGCGAGCTGTCCAAGAATTCCATTGAAGGTCGCGATGTGAATCCGATTGCCTCCTTTCATTCTTTACGACTTGTGTACTGTTCGTTACTGCAGATCTTGCCCCGGCTTCCACGGAACGAAACTTTACGGCGAATAGCACGCACCAACTCGAGCGCGACAAGAATGACACGAAGGTGCAGGGTGTCCGTGTTTCTGACGAGGAGGTACAAGAAGATCGACAGTTGGCAAACACTGCCCGCAAGGTTGTTGATGCACTCGAGTCAAGCACGTTCGACATTCGTGACCGCATCAGTCATTTCTTCATGCCAAGTGAGGTGAAAAAGCAGGCGTATATAGGTGAGCAGGAGAGCATCAAGGCCAGCTATGTCGGTGTATCTCTCAGGAAGGCAATTCCGGACATCTCTAGGGACGATCGGGGAGGCCCACTTGAAACTAGCGGTCGCTTTGTTTTCTCAAAGAGCTCTGAAGTTCCCGTCTAAGGCCTATACCCCGATGGGAGTTGATGATCCGTACCTTTTGTATTATTTAAAGAGCCTGCAACGTTTCACCTTTAGAGATATGGCCATCTTGATCAGGCTGGCACATAAATCGCAGGTGTCAAAGGGTGTGGCGAAGAAGATGGACGAGGTGCAAGTCTACACGTGGATCCAGTGCGAGCTAAGTCCCGAAACGGTTGAAGATTTGTTGTTGTATTTGGAGGGGGACATACCCGGTTATAGTGCTGAGTTAAAGCATACTGTGGACGCCTACTGGAAGCGTCTACTTGACCTGGAAGTAGAGTGGTAGGTACCTGTCAATAAATAAACGACTGAAACACCCATGACGATATCTACACGAGTTGTGCTCTTTCTTTTTTTCATGCCTTATGTCATTGTTGTGCTTTTCCTCTTGCTTACTTTTCTCTACCTTTCAGATGAATGAGCGTCTATTTGTGCAGCATGGGTCTAGCGTTGTGGTCAGGAGTGCATGGGTCATCCTTACCTGCATATTCTTTGCAGGCTCGAAGGGCAAACTAGGCTACAATGACGTTCTCTTGTGTCGAATGAAATATGTTTGGTCATTCTAAGTGCGCTTAACTGGCATAGTGAATGCGTATTAGAGTAAGATTGAGAGGACGCTAGTTAGATGACGTCGTCAATACATATAGGCGAGCCATTAAGGTAGTCAGTCTAGGGTGATAAGCATGGGATTGTCGAGAGTGTATTTTACAAGCAGTTTGGAGGGTTCTCGTTGACAGAATCATTAATTCCGATAATGCCTACTGTAGCCATTTTTTACAGCGCAATCTCAAGAGGCGCCTTTAACGTACGCACCCGAAACGTAAGCTTGATTAGAACGACAACTTCTTTTGACTGGCTAGATCTCCGGTCCCTCCGGTACGAATTTAGACAGATTCTTGCGTCTCCTTGGATGAGTTGTCTACCTGAAAGGGTTTACACATGGCAGGACTTAATAGATGTGTGCATCGCATACGTGTTGTACTTTTGAACCAGATTATGTTCTACCATCTTAGACGCTGCTATTAAACGAATGAAGACGCGTACAAGATAGGAGAGCAAGCTTTGGATCTCGCCCTTTCATGTAAGTAATCCAGTACAGAGAACCGAATCAAGGTCTGTAGTTTCACGTACCCATTCCGCGTGGTTGGCAGCTAGAAGATAGGTTGTGCGTTGTGTATGTAATCAAATAAAAATGCGGATGCATTGTGTGTGTTCGAGGTACTCATCACTATTTGGTGATGTTGTGAAAAGACGAATATTAGATAGGGGAGACGAAGAAAGATCCTGCCCGTTTACGTCGTCAACCATAAAGTGCGGCCGACAACATGGCACTGATTCCTGAAAACGTGGAAATAAATTGAGAGTGCTCTCCCCTGCCTCTGAGGGAGTAATGTGTGACCACAGCCTCTTAAGTTGATCAAGTACTGCGGATAAAAACCATTTAGCACATACTGTTTGCCGGAGGTAATACTCTTGCTGCTGCAATAGCGTTCAGTATTAATTGATTAGTCCTCTGTTTGCTCTTTATCACGATAAGGCCAATCATGTGCGAGCTTTGGTGCATGTGGGGCATTCACTCCTAATGCGGTCGTTGTTAGTGACCTAGTTAAGGGGCTGTTCCGATGATGCAAGTTTATCTATAAAGGAGGGAACATGCTACATCGCGCTAAAAATGATGTTTAAGGCACACCTAGCGTAATTTACAGACACACGCACGGACAGAAATTTTATATTGAAAAGTCCGGCATTCAAACTGCGCACAAGCGCTTGTAGCTTCACCCTTGTCAGGCTCACAATGAACTTTAGCCCTCTACTTCTAAGCTCGCAACTGAGACTAACGAGTGTACAGGACCACTCAACGACAGGAATTAGAGCTTCAGATCCCTACTTGACGCGTTTTCGTGTCCAGTCTCGCCAGAACGCACCTTTGGCCTTAGCCCACATCGATGATAGATCTTCAGCTTGGCCAGATTATTTAGCAAGATGACCTGCAACGGATACTTTGGTGTGCCGTTATACTCTTTTTTCGACGTACAGCCGGTAGGTATTCTAACGATCTGCTACTGTCCTCTTCGGTAGGGCTTACGCATCCTGTCCCGGCTCACGGCTATACATGACAGGCCTATTACTAGCCGGATTTCCAGGTGCCAGCCAGACATCGAGGCCCCCGACTATTCGTTACCGGGGACTCATGCTTCTTCAAGAGGATGCAGCTCAGTCGTACCAGGGTTCCAGGTCGTATCATTGAGACTTAGGTGGTTGCACACATTTTTGAGGACCTTGGGTTTGTCCTGAAAGTTCATGGAGGGGAATGAGCACAGGCCAAAATGTAAGGGTCTGGGCTGACCATTGCACAGGGCACGAACGCTGTCGGTTCTACTCTAAAGCTTTGGTTTAATGCCGGCAAGTTGTCTTCTTCTCCACCTTATGGAGTTCAGTGGCTTCTTCCCAACTTTTTGCGCACAGACTGCAGCCTCGCAATGGTGTGTTGTTCTACCACCCTATCATTTCATTTTCTCCGCTCGCCACTGTCCCGTCAACGTAGGCCAACGCATCCCTTGCTCCTTAGTAGGTGCTGGCTCATTCGTGGGTCATATGCAACCTTACAGACGGTGATTTTACTTGGAGCCTGACGGCACCCAGTCCTAGATCGTCTCTTACCTGCGATGCATTTTCGTCCTCCATGAAAATGGTCCTGTACATCGAAGACACAGGCATATCGATCGCCAATTTGAACCATCAGGAGGCATCTGTAAGCCGGGTCCCATTCTGTAAAAACTGCTAGTTTATTTACGTACATCTTACCGCAACGACATCCGGACGCACCACCTGGTAATCGACGCTGGTTGGCTTTGCAGTCGATTTTTCATTTTTCGGCTGTGTGCTCCACAAGCATGGGTCGCGCATGCAGTATTTGCGCTACTTCATTCGTCCGAACATACCCTACCACATTAATTTGGTAACTGCGCGTGGGAGTTTGCGCAACTAAAGCTATTCCATGAGCATTCACCTTTCCCAAAGCATCACGATGAGGCTGTCAAATGCTAGAATCGAGCGCACGTACAATTTTCTTTTTGCTACACGATTTCTCCATGAGTAAGGTAACGACATAAGGTTACAGGGGCTGCAAATGTGCTTGGCTGTTGACATGCGTGGACCGCAAAGTACTGGTCATAGACGTGCACTGTAAGACTCACAGATGGCAGTGCGACCCAGAGAGCGAAGGCAGAACGAAGGAGCATATGTCGCGTGTCATCGGTCCCACACTTTGGAACTTGTTTCCATGTTATTATGCACGCATGCATTATTTGTGGTCTTTCCGAATGACTGTTCTTTAGCGCAATTCTGGAGCACGTGCCAACCCTGAACGTGCTACAGAATTGCAAGAAAGAACTTATACTTCACCGTGCGGGATGTGGGGGAGGCAACTCATTTGTCACTCGACCGGAGTAGAAGATGCGTATTCGGTAGGTGCTGGTCGTGTTATCAGTAGCGAGCGTGAATCGCCAACCTCCCGAGAATTGCCACGGCGGAGGCATCGACTACATCAACGATGTAGAGGCAGGGAGGGTACAGGATTGACAACAAATTTCGATTTCCTCTGAGCAGCACTGTCCGATCCCGCTTTCGAAGTTCATTGACTAACGCGGTGTTCGGAGGGGTACGACACTGAAAAGCGTCTCACGTTTTGGGCTTGGGACACGTCAACTTAACGCGATGGCGAAACGCGATCATCGAGGTCTTGACACAGTCATCCGAGTGACTCAGTTGCACCCGTGCATTCGCGTGTTTCCTCATAGACCCAGAAGACAATTGACTTCTGAAGGGGTCTGCCACGACACGATACCGGGTTCGGTACTTATTTCCTGGCTAAGAATTCATAGACATGCATAAATGATCGGTAAATAAGTCGTTATGCAGCCTGCATCGTATTCAAATGGACCCCTCCGTTCCCCTGGTCCGACGTCCAGCAATACGATCGTATGCTCGACATGTAGATAAGAGCATCAGTCTGCGAATTCAGCAGAGTTTGTATCGGACATCCGAATCTAGCAAATGATCATCTGGTTGTGACCGTTGGTCTTTATCTATAGTACATTCCTGTGAACGCATACCCTATCACGCAGTGCTTTGCCTAATGTGCACGGAAACGAGTAAAAAAAGCTGTAGAAACGTGGACGAGCAGTGTATGGACAAAGGAGACTTTGCGCTGAACGAACTGGACTTTGAAACAAGGAACGCGTTTGCACTAGGGAGTATCGTATCAACGTCTCGAGCTGGTAGTCTTGTTGTTCAAGATGCGCCTCGTCTATCGAGCGACAAGCGAAAGGTACATTCTGGTGATTAGTAGTGCGCTTATCGCATGAGTAATACCAGTAGTGTGGATTACTCACGTCGACTATCTGAGGAGTAATGTGTATGTAGTAGATTACTCGAACGCGACTTTACAACAAGTACTGCGCGTAGTGTCGATCACTGTTGTACAGTTGAAGAATCCGTTAGGCTTCGAGTAGCAAATGGAGTTGCGAACGAAGGACCTAAATATATTCACTTTGCATTTTGCATTCACCTCGACAAGCACCTTTCCACAAGCACCACATTCTGCTCCTTTTCCACTGTCAAACGTTCCTCATGAAGCTGGTCGGCTTTATCATCACCGCCATTCTCGCTCATATCTCGGTTTACGCTCAAAACGACTACGCGCAAGACGAGATGGAGCAACAACAGCAAGAACCACTTGATGGACAGTGGCAGCCCAAGACAATCGATCACGACAAAATCGTGCCATTCTCTGAGCCCGAGCCTGTCACGATCTCCGAAAAGGCTGGTGTCAAGTTCAAACCTTTGCTTGAGATCATTACGGGCTGTGCACCGTACGCGGCTGTGAACGCAGAGGGTGCGACCAACGGTGGCCTCCGACCTTCTGGTGACCCGCAAAGTGGATGCGAAGGATCGAAGCTCGGGTCACAAGTTTATGGGCGCTCCACCTGGCACAAAGACGTCTGGGCTATAATGTTCGCGTCGTACTTCCCCAAGGACTCGCCGTTGCCAGTGTTGGGTCACCGGCATGACTGGGAGAACGTCGTGCTGTTTATCGATGACCCCAACAAAGTGGAGCCGGACGATCTTGGGTTGTTCGACGTCGTGGCACAGTGGCTACATAAAGTACGCTCCCTGCCCTACAGATTCGATCAATGGCTCTAGCGTCATGATCAAGTACGAAAGCTCGTTTCCGCTCAACCACGCATTCAACATTACTACTGATGCTGGATCTTCCCAGGACCTTATCATGTGGCACCAGATGCCGGACCTGGCACGTCGAGCTCTGAATGACACGGATTTTGGCAAAGCTAATACGCCGATGAATGACTTGAATTTCATGACGAAGATCAAGGCTGCTTGGCCGTTTCAAACGAAAAAAGCTGGAGTATGAAGCCACTGGTGACAGTCTGACAGCTAGTGGTTGTACTTATCCAGTTTGTTTTTGCTGGGCCTCAAAGATACGACGCAAGTGATGACTGACAGCTTCTGAGGCTATGTTCTGGTTGAGCAATCAAAGTTAATCATGTAGATGAATAACTACAACACGCAAAACTTGGTCATAGCTTTTTGTAACTCAGCGCCCTTTGTATTGATTCGCCACCATCACTTTGTTCGCAGAGGTGACTCGGTCAGTTTGTGCACCATGTTGTAATCTCACAAAGATGCTGTTGTGGTGCCCCCCATGTCGAAACTGTCGGCATTGGGTGTAAGTGAGTTCTCCACTAAAGCAGCGTCGGAGTTTGCGTCACTTCTTATCCAGAAAGCTACTTACTTTGTCAAACAAGTTGCATCATACATTCTAACGTGCAGATCTTGATATGTCTCTTTGCAATCGTTCGGACATCATTTCCATAGTGCAACGAAACTGTTGATGGGAGCCTTGCAAGCGTACGGATACAATAACGTGTTCGAAACGCAAGGGCGGCTTTTTCTCACGCAATTTTACGTACAAATTGTAACCTGATCGACTTGCAGAATTCAGATTGGTAATGAGATTTGAACCAATGGCATCTCAGGCTCACCGGCTCTCGTATTGTAGTCTACAAGCATCTCAAATAGCTAGAGTTCAACTTCACGATGTACATCTGCGGGTATATGCCTGAATAGCCTGACGTCAAGCTTGGTCGAGTTGTCTCGTTCAATACTTGACTAGAATAACTTGATTCTGGACAGCTAAAGCTCACGATCATTAACATCGAATTTGCACTTACCATTCTCATTGTACTCATGGTGATTAGACATGTACAGTAACGATTTTCTTTTTCTAACATACAATTCACCATCTTTGCCTTGTATATCCAAGTATCTTGTTGCTGAAGTCATGGCTGGTCGAAAAAGGGGCGCATAACAGTGAAGAGTTACGGATCGAGTTTGCCAGCTCAAATCGTTGTAAGATTGCACAAACCAGATAGTTGAGGAACAGGATTCGATTTGTTCACTGAAGGCTACATTCTCATGTGTCGAGGGATAGTTCAATTTTGCTCGGAGCATAGTTCACACCAAGTTATGCGATGAAAGGTTGATGACAAATTTCCAGTCATTCTCTAAGATAGCATCACGATTCAACAAGTACTGATTTGAAGACTACGTATTCGCATCACGACCTGGCTTCATTAACCCCAGCAACTGATGCCCTAAGTGCGCACTATACTTTCATTAGGATCGTGTTTGCTTTCATCAAGTACATTATTTCTTCAATCATTACCAATCACCGTCGTGACGATGTAATGTACTCTGTACAAGCTCGCTCGGGGTATCCAGCACTGTTGTGCCAAAAGATACAGCAGCTTCGTTTCCTGGCTTTTTCACTCTCGTGCGAGGAGTACTTACGCCGAAACTCTCTTATAAGCAGTTGAACAGTTGTCGCTAATATTTCTAGTCATCAAGGATGAACACAAGTGCTGTTATTTACTGTTATTTATGTAGCTGTAGCTGCATCGCAGAATATAACCGCTACAAGCTTATGATGGGATGTAGTTTGATGACATGTACTCTGTTATCGATTGCCTACTTGAAGCGCGCATTACATTTTCAGTAGGCAAGGCATTCTTATATTGCGAGCTGCTTCCATCAAATTGTTGCATACTTTGTCTTTGATTCAGATTTCTGGGTCATTCATTGTAAGTAATCAGCTGCGAGGATACAAGGAGCAATACTTCACCATAGTGACGACAGCAAATCCACGCTTACTTTGTAGCAATTAATTTGACAACAAAGCGATGTCGACATTACCTTCTTCTACTTTTGTTGTCAAAAGTCCCGTCGGGGCGGAAGACGTGTTTGTCTGAGCTTTATAATTCTTTGATGATGCGTAGTCAAGGAAGGTTCACCAGCTAGTCCTAACAGTATCGTATTTATTCTTCACGGATGGTTCATCTAATGCGCCTGAAGAAAGCGACTGCTCATTTAATCCTCTAGTTTCATTAATAGACAGGGTTTTCGCACGAAACGCAAGAACATTAAGCATGCGCCGCTTCTTGTAAGAGAACGTAATAAAATCTATTATGAGCGCTTTGTACAGACTGCATGCTTTTTACGATGCTGATCTCTCCTGCATCATGAGTGCTGTACGGCAAGAACAATGCCTCTGTACGGGGAGGACGCCTCACTCGCAACAACAGAGACCGTGCTGTCCCGTGACATGCCCCGCAGAATTTGTGACAAAAGCAACGCTAAGAGTCGCGTGATGTGTCGCTCTGCAAGGCTGCGATATACTAAAAGACCCGTCAGTTCAATTGTAGATTTGCAACGTTTCGTCAGCCGGGACTAGCTGAAGGTCAAAAAGGGGCTACGACTCGAACAATAGACCTCGAATCTGAAGGCTGCCAAGTTGACATTGACAACCTCTCTTAATCCTGATGATCGTACAGAGGGTTGGTAGCAACACCGGTGGACTGCTGATACTGTTGTTTATTGGTGCACTTGTGCATTTGGAGTAGGAAGTAAAAGTGAAATATATTGAGTGTTAACTATCCTTCGTTCACACTACCACATGTACTTGGTGACCACCACTGCAACTTGACCTGGTCAAGTTGCATCTGGCATACGTCCAGCGTGCCCATCACCGTATTTCATCCCTGGTCCAACATGACGTCCGCATATCGGTATGCAGGTCCTCAGTCCCATATGTCGCGTCTTGTCCCAAGTGTCGCACTTTGTCCCACATGTCTCGTCCTCTCCCATATGTCAGCTTGACAGCCCATCAGGTGAGGTTGTACTTTACCTATCACAGGCCTTGCAGTCTTCACCCTGAGTTTCCATGACCTGTTAGAAGCAATGTCTGTTAACACTCCTCCTTAACACCAGCCTAGAAAGGCATCAAGTTGAACATTACTCGTAGTTCCTCCAATCTTGGGGCGGGCAACGACTTCATGAGGATGTCCGTGATCATGCACTCCGATTTTATGAATCTTGGCACCACAGTCCCTTCACGCGCGTGATGACGGATAAACTTGAATCGAATGTCCACGTGCTTCGCGCTTAATGTGCTCTTCTCTGCTTCGAGTTGCTTGATCGCCACTTGGTTGTCCATCCACATCGGCATGGGCTCGACCATCGCCATTTTCAGCTCGTTGAAGAGCTCCCTTAATTCCAGCAACTCACGACCACCCTGCGACGCTGCCACGAACTCCGCCTCCATCGTGCTGAGAGCCACTCCTGACTGCTTCTTGCATAACCAGAACACAACAGCTCCATCCATAGTTAGCACACACCCAGTCACTGACTTACGGTCGACTTTATCCGTAGTGTAGTCCGCATCACTCCAACATTCGACCTTGATATCGTCCGTAGTCGGTCCGTTTCCATTTAGGTGCAACTTCAACGTCTTGGATCCCTTCGAGTAGCGTACAATCCACTTTTCTGTTTCCAGTCCTTGATGTTCGGTTTGTGCGTTTGACGGGTGTCCTTGTTTACCGCGAAATAAATGTCGGGGCGGGTGCACCTCGCAATCCAGAGCAGGCTTCCGACCAAAGATTGAAAAACGCCCAGACTTGGGTCACTGCTTGCACCTCTCTTAGGTAGAAGCTCCGCGTCTTTTGCGTCATCCTCGTTGCACTCATCGCCGATTGGTGTCCGTACAGAGTTTGCTGATTCCAGCTTGAAATCTCTTAGCAAAGCGTCGATCATCACTTCCTGGTGGAGAACGAATCCATGTGTATTGTCCAGCGAAATTATTCGGAGCCCCGGAAACTTCTTCACGACTCCCGAATCCTTGATCAAAAGTGTCTTCTATCCGGCGAAGAAGTGGTCCACTGCATCTTGTTTGGTGCCTGCCACCAGGAGATCATCGACGTAAATTCCCACCACGGTCCAAGTATCACCTTCCCGCTTGTAACATAGACACATGTCCGTGGCGCACTGTTGGAAACCTTCTTCACTTAGATTCGATTGTAGGAGCTTTCTTCACAGTCGTCCAGCTTGCTTCAGTCCATAGAGGGACTTCTTCAACATCAGTGCAGCTTCCTTAGTCTGTTTCGCTCCAACACATTCGAGTTCCTTTGCGGTCCCCTGCATGCCCTTTGGTATCGTCCTGTAAAGTTCCAGGTGCTCCTCCTTTTCTGCCCTTTCGTAGGCGTTAAACACATCGCCATGACGTGCCGGCACGTTCCAACTTCTGGAGAGCACCAAAATCAACTTGATGGTCGCTAAATCTCTGACCGTCGCAAAGTCAGATTGTAGTCGACGCCGAAAACTTGTTCGTTTCCGCATACAACTAAACGAGCCTTGTATCGTTCAATAACACCATTCGCATCCGTCTTCGTCTTGTATACCCACTTGTTGTGCAGGACGTGCGCGCCTCTTGGAAACATGACTATCTTCCACACGTCGTTCGAATTTAATTCATCTAGCTCTTCAGTCATGGCTGTAAGCCATTGGTCACGATTCTTGCCATCCATTGCTTCACCATAATGCTTTGGGTCTTGATCGATGGCGACGTTCACGACATCACGGTTTTCTACCGTGGCATAGTGCTTTGACTCCTTTGGGTAATCCACTCTCGTAGATCTTGTGCCGTGACGTTCCCTAGTCCAGGTAGCCTTTCGACCCTTGCGGACCTTTTTAGCACATATCGCACCATCTTAATGATCTTCATCATCAAACTGATGATTGCGTCGTGGCTTCTCCTGACGTTTACTGCATCAGGATGGGTCTTCTTGTCATCTTGGTTATCTGGTGGTGATTCAACGTTTTGCACGTGTTGAGTCACTATGACCACCTTGTCCACCGGGATGTACACCTTGTACCCCTTCTTTTCGCTGCCTCGTCCAATGATGATGCCCGCCCTGCCTCGCTCGCCGAGTGATTTGTTGCTCGGATGATTATGCGTAGTTCATGTTGAGCCGAAGGCAACTATTGCCTTCAGCATGACAGCCTCACTCGTCAGAAATTCCATAGGTGATACTCCTCCAGGATTCGACTTGATGCGGCTACGGTTTATAATGTACGCAGCGTACTCCGCGGCATCGCTCCAAATAGACAGTAGAAGGTTTGACGCGAAGATCATGCTCCGCACCATGTTCATGATGGTGCGGTGCATTCTTTCAGCCTTGCCGTTACTCGCTTGATTTCTCGCTCCACTCACTTGACGTGAGATGCCTTCTGTCGAGCAAAATGTATCGATTGTTTTGTACTCTCCTCCACCTTTAGTGAGCAAGACGTGGATCTTGCAGTTAAATTCACGTTCAAAGATCGCCATGAAGTGTTTGAACTCCAACGCAGCTGCATCCTTCGTCTTGTACAGAAACACTCGACAGTAACTTGACCGATGATCAATGAATGAATGTAGTTGACCATGTATCGGTTTTTAATCGGTCTCGTAGGGTCATGGGGCCCTTGAGGTCCGAGCATACGACGCCCCCGATCACGTCAATTGGTGAGTTTGCGCCTGTGTCTCTCTTTGACTGGGCCGCCTTGGTTTGCTTACCCTTGGCACAGGCCATGCACTTCTGTCGTGTCGTGTCAGTCAGACGTATGCACGGCGCTGGATCTTCAGCCATCTTCAGGACCGTGTCAAGGCAGAGGTGTCCCAGACGCCGGTGTAAATCCATTAAGGTACCGCACTGAACGTTCGAAACGGATTCATCATCAGGTGCGTCCATGACCATCATCATCGAATCTCGTGATGGTATTAAAATACGATTACTGTGACTCATTACAGTAACAACCAGAACGTTGTTGGAGCTTTCCACATTCATGATGGGTGTGCCAACCACTCCGAAAGACAACACGCGCCTTACTTCTCGATATGTGAGCACGCAACACTTAGCCTCGAGCAATCCAAACGAAAGGATGTTCCGCTCTAGGTTTCCAGCGTATTGGACGTTTAGGAGTCTCACTGTGTTGACCCCTAAAAGCAACGACTTGAACGTCCACAGTGCCTTTCAGCGTGAGAAGTAGCGCACTTCCATCGGTGGCTGCGGTCGTGCACTCACTGTTGTAGGGGGTTGGGTCGGTGAGTAGACTTGAGTCGCTAACCAAATGTCCGCTCGAACCAATGTAAAGTATTTATTGATTCAGTGAGTTGTTTGAGCCACGAGCAACCATGAAGACAAAATTCGCACCCGAGGACTTCTTCTTTCCCTGAGGGCACCGCGAGCGGATATGTCCAGCTTTTCTACACTTAAAATACGTCCGTGTGTCCGTCCTTGTCTGCGTCGTCCTTGGCTTTGATTTCTCCTTGGGTTCCTTTACTGGTTCGACAGTATGCACCACGTCGCTCCCGAAATTCCTTGCGTGGGTGTCGACCTCCGTTGACTGCGCAAATTGAGCCAATTACTCTGCCTGACGCAGGTAGTCGAGCCGGTTGGTGTCCAACCTAGACAACGTCGTTGTTCGCATAGGTGGGTCAGCATAATGGACGATGTTGTCCAGCACGAGGTTATTGGCGCCACAGGCGTCACTGACGGCCGTCAAGTTAGGAAATGGTCCTTCCAGTTTCGGTGGGTTGCCTTGTGGGCCGAATTAACTTCATGCTCTGCGCCGTTGAAATCTTCGTGGTAAAGGTCTTCAGCATTCTCTGCATTGCATGTTCTCGGTTGTTGCTCTCGAGCCACCAAGTTTCAACCTGCCGGCAATAGTACGTCTGTGCCTTTCCGGCTAGGTGCTGGCCTTCGACATCAACCTTGATGTCCTCTGGCCACGCGAAACCACATGCACGCTTTACAAATCCGACTTGGCGGACGAATTCCTTTCCCCACTCCACGAAGCCGCTACCGAGACCATGTTAGAGATCATTCCCATCGAAAGGTTGCAATGCGAGCTTCCGTTGTGGCCCATCCGGCGTGTAGATCCTCGGATGACCAAGGTGACCATACCCTTGGTTGGGAAAACCCATGCCGGGATAATACCCCGCAGGTATGCCTACCCTGTATTGCCTGGGATCGGGTCCTTAATTCGTGTTAATGCCCAGGTCTGCGCATCTTGCAGGAAGAATTTAACACCTGCCTGATTTTGTTGTCGCCGTATGCCAAAATAGGTCGCTGGCGACACGTTTGGTGAAATCATAGAAGGACTTGCGTCTAACGCCTCGGTGTTGATCCCTGCATCGATCTCCCTTTTCCGGTTGTCGGTACGTAGCTCGGGTGAGTCCGTGTTCAGCCTGCCGCCATGTTCTCTCTGGGAAACCTCCATCCGATTTATCCTTTCGAACAGGTCCCCGAGCATGACCAGAATTTTCTCGATCGCCTTCTCAGCCGCTGCCGACTTTTCTCTCAGGTAGTGATCGTTGGCATTATATTGGCCATTGACCACTACGTCAACTACCGATGATTAAGCCGCACCGAAAACACGTTTGTTCGGGCTCATAACCTGCTGTTTGTTGGTGCACTTGTGCACTTGGAGTAGGAAGTAAAAGTGAAATATATTGAGTGTTAACTATCCTTCGTTCACACTACCACACGTGCTTGATGACCACCACTGCAACTTGACCTGGTCAAGTTGTATCTGGCATACGTCCAGCGTGCCCATCACCGTATTTCATCCCTGGTCCAACATGACGTCCGCATATCGGTATGCAGGTCCTCAGTCCCATATGTCGCGTCTTGTCCCATGTGTCGCACTTTGTACCACATGTCACGTCTTGTCCCATATGCCAGCTTGACAGCCCATCAGGTGAGGTTGCACTTTACCTATCACAGGTCTTGCAGTCTTCACCCTGATTTCCATGACCTGTTAGAAGCAATTTCCTTTAACAGATACCCGTACAGGCTTCTTACGAACTTTCCGGCTGAGAGTGTAGGACCTATGTTTTGGTATCGGGATATCAAGCCATGAGTCATTATCGCTAGCTTATCTGGTCTTTTGGGGTTTGGACAGTGGCTAATGTACCCGCTGGCAAACGGTTTCGACTTGTCAAGTGGATCCAAACACCGTGGACATTTGCTGTCGATAAGATGCACCTTCTTTTCTGTTAGTCACACCTGATGGCGTTCGCTGCTTCATCAACCGCTTTGAAGTTTTCAACCAGAGTCAATCGTGAACTCGACCGTAGCGCACAGTCATTATAACCCAATCAGTCACTGCACGTTCTTTTGAAAGGCCAACGTTATCTTTTTACGATTGGAGCAACGTGTGCCACCTACAGCCTTCTTTTCACGAGGATCACAGCCGACGAGAGGATCAAAGTCGATCAACACTCACTCAAAATTTCAATCCGCTGATCGGTATCAAAAGCTGCATCTGATGACAGGGGATTATTCAATACATATGCTCTTGACATCACAAAAGTGTCGCTTCTACTTATTTGGTCCAGCATGTGTGCTCGCACTGCGAAATTTCAATCAAACGATTGGCTGATTCTCTTGTTGTTTGGCAGTTGTGGTATCTATGGTCAACTGCCGCTGTCTACTCTAGCTTGTACTCATACTATGCTTTCATAGCTCATCGTAAAGGCTATTTAAAGATCCAAATCAGCATCGGTCTCAAGGACAACAGTGAGTACTATTCACTTTCCCAAGTCACAAGTAGCTCTGCACCCTAGGATCTTTGTTGCTGCTGATAATGCAAAAGCGACCGTGACGAAGCTGCTTTGCATCAACGTAAGCATTCGTTGCTACAATTCTCGTTATGTTGCTCGCGTATGATACTTCTTGGATGGGTTCGCGAGTACTTGGCGGTCCGTCTTAGGTATGCACTCTGTAAGATGTGGTGTCGCATGATTACATGCAAGTTTGATCCTTGGGATTCGTAAAATCACTTCATCCATCAAGCTGAATTTTCAATTTGCGCAAGTGTTTTATTTATAGATGGAGTAAGTAGCAATACTGGCACCATCCGCAATCTCAGCAACTCTTCAGCTCGGAGTTAATGTGTACCACACTAAAGCGTCCTACCATATCTTATTCCTTCCATTCCTCAATCTGCAATTAGCCACTCTAGACAGGTCACCCTCTTCCACCGCATATCGAGGCCATCCAACTTTGGCGGAAATCGCCCTTTGCTCGGCCCTTAACTACGTGGGGGGGGTCTCGTGCGGGCCTCTTGTGCATGTCGAGCAAAATATGCAAAAGGAAGGTCAGGTGGGTGACGTATAGAAATGATGGGAAGTTTATATACATATAGCATATAATGACTTACTGTCATTTTTCATTTGTCGCCTTTGTATGTTACCTAAAGTGGATGTTATCACTGACAATCGTAACGTGTGACTGTGCAATCTCAATTATCGTAAAACAATTCATGCGCAGTCGATTTAAACGTGTTGAAGCTGAATGTAGCGGAGCTACGCATCTCCTTAGGTCAGAGAAAGACTTAGTGATCAACGAACACTTTCAGTTCTAAAGAGCTAGACTCGATTAGTCAGCAAGTGTAAAGCTCAATGTATCTGTTCCAGGGAACCAAACGATTCAGTGAATCTACAGCACTTAGTGCTCAAGAATAGCTACCGTAGGGAGGTGATGCTAAATCTTAACGAACAACGATCAGAGACTGCTTGCAAGGCACGTGTCGTAGACAAGATCAAAAGGGGAACTGAGCTTTATTTACGTTTGACTTTACAGAATATCTAATTCCTAATACTACCTCATCCAGGCACTCGTTTCCTAGACTAGTATCTTCAAGATGTTTTTTATCTTGTGGCTGACACCCTTCAGCCCCTATAAACCGATAAGATATTCTACATCTCTTACAGTAGAATGCCATCCCGTGTGTCTAAGACACAAGGTACCAAGTACCCTGAGATGTGTAACCCCTTTACACCCTCCCCCACCAGACTGACGCTTACTTTAACGTCAACCGATCTTTGTTCTTCACCGAGGTCAGTGCGCTTGCGGTTCATATAACGGTAACGCAAGGCATTAGCACCATGCCCTTATCTTTTTACGTGTCAAAGACTCTTTGTGCTTACCCCGATATGAAGGAGGCAGTATTGAATGGTAGCGATACCAATTTCCCGGGTGATATCTCTACTAAAATACTAAATATTTTGTTAGAATTTAGTTTAAAATTTTTTTATTTAAATATTATTAAGTTAAATTAAATTAATAGATTTTTAATATAAATAAAAGTAATTAATTTAAAAGCAAGCAAAAAAAATAAATGCTTTAAGAAAAAAATCATTTTAAGTTTTTCTTAAAGTATTTAAATTCTATATTTATTTACTTTTAAACTAATTAATTTGGATACATTAAAAAATATAATAATCAATTTTAATAACAAATGTCTTTATTATTAAGAAGACCTCCAGGTCGAGAAGCTTAT